GTATTATTTTATTCTCAGTTAGGTTTTCCATGATTGTCTCTAAATGATTATATGTGCTTTCTATCTCTCTTTTATTTTCCATGGACTATCCAATGTATTTGATTCAGTATTCTCATGTTATGGTACATGTTTCGTAGACGCCGGCGGGAGAAAGTATTTGATATCTACCCTCCAAGTCCGGGCGCTACCAGGGATAGTTGCCGCCTGTTTCCTAAAGGATTTAGTGAATAAAATTTTAATAATTCGTTTAATAGGTTTTTCGGACGTCTTGTTGAAAAATAAGTTTTTCTCTCCAGCGTTTTGATTTTACAAATTTTTTGTTTTTAATTTTATTAAAATGATAAATGTATGATGATAAATGATAAGATTTTTAATTAACTATTAATAAATAAAATTGTTTACATTGGCGTAAACAGTACATATGCCCTTTTTGTCAAGTGGGTTGGTTTTAATCAATGAGTTGTCTTAGTAATTGAATATATTGATCTTTAATGCTATTTATTTCCTAAATTGTTAAATCGATTTGTTAGTTAATACGTGCCTTTCCCTACGTAACATATATGAATGAGGAAGAGAACATATATGAATTATTTGTTTATTATTGTGTTGATTCTGTTTGTGTTGTAAACGTTATCATATGATATGGTATCTCTCTGGTCATTTGTAATATATGCATCTTTGATCAATGTTGCTATTTGTAATATATCTGTCATGCATTTTGATGTAGCCATTTTGTGTCAATAAGGGTCGGTTTCATTCGGCACGTATGATGTGCTCTGCTGTTGGTTTTCCGTCGAATTTTATTTCGTTGTCCGTTTTACTGATTATTAGATTCAGGAAATATATATAATTTTGCCGGTGTATGTTACTTGCAAGGCGTTCAGGTTTGTCAGTCATTAGTTTATGTTGATTTTGGCATCTACTAAAGCAAATGTGTCAACAACGTATGTGTATATTATGTTGGGTTTTGCAATTAAAAATATAGACATGAAACCAAGCACATTCGGAAATTACTAAACATCTCTCCTTCTTCTGTACTTAAGTATTTACTTTTGGTTTACCTCGAAATGATGCTTCAACTTAGTTTCGTTATATTATTAATTTTAAGGTCGCAATTTTTATTGTTGTTTGCTGGATAAACAAGTTTCGAAAACATAGTTTCTTCCTGTTTTCCTCAAATACTCTTAATATCATGTACAGGAAAGTAATTGCAGTTTTGAATAGTACGGTATGGATGGAAAACAATGGTAATTTTTGCTCTTTTAATAAATTACCATACACGTTTTTTTCCAAAAGGAATTTGTTTACTACGCTTATTTTAACAGGAAAAATGGCATTTGCGATGTACATATATCATGCATTATAATCAATTGTTCTTGAAATAAATAAAAACCTTAAATATTATTAGGTATTATTTAAAAAAAAATTGTTTTAGTGTTTTCAGTTCAAAACTTTATACATTTAACAATTATTTGGTGGTGGTCAATAAAAGATCTGGCATAGACATGTCATATCTAGTGACGTGCTATACCAATCGATAAGAGTAAAGTATCGAGAATTTTCTTTCTATACCAAGTACTTTTGGTATCGACTATTGTCATTCGATACAAGTAATGTATCGAATACTTTTTGTAGATCGGAATATATACTCAAATAAATTTTCGTTGAGGGTTAAAGTAATATTGAATTGATTGTTATTTACTGTTCAAAAATTACCTTTCATCAAACTGGGAATTGAATAGTTACTGTTAACAGCGCCTACTAGCGGCACATGTTAACAAAGTTAATCGAGATTTTTAATTGGTGGTTGGTTACTCTGCTGAAATTCTGGTATCTCGTAATTCTTTCCACAATCGCACTCAGTTTCAGTAATTTCTCATAAAATGCATTTGTCTTCAAGTCCCTAAAATGTGTTTGCCTTCCTTCTCGTAGGTACAATCATGTCTCCTCCCAAAAGTAAGGCATGGTGTTATTTTATTACGTTTTTTTCTTCTTCTCGGAAAAATTTTTTTAATAAAACTGAAATAGTGGCGGGACGAACCGAGAAGAGAAGTGCGAGAAGCAGGAAGTAATTCGCGGCCTGCAAGATCCTGACCCGGAGGGCACTGGGTTGAAATTGAAAAAAAAGCAAGGAGAGACAGTTCGAGATAGATGATCCGAGTAAGAGGTGGTCTCCGCGAGGAAAATAAAATATTTTAAAAAAAGTCTGTGTGGGGGGGGGGCTTGTGATCCCAGTCGTGCTGATCTACGGGTGCAGAAAGTTCCTATGAAGAGATAGTGAGATCCTTTGAAGTGATCCCGGCAAGTGGAAGAGTGATCCCGTGAGTTGATTCATTTCCAATTTCTTTATCAGGCCTGATAATTCGGGACTAAAGACATTAGTTGTAAGTTTCGGCCTTTTATTAGTTTTTAATTTAAAAAGAATTTGTCAATGTAATTATAAATAGAATAGTTGTTATTAGTATTCATTTTTTTAATCGTAGTTAAAATCCTAAGTAAGCTAAATACCCTAAGATATCATCTTGGTTTAACGAATTAACTTCGACAGAAGAAGGAAGAACTTCATTATTCAGCTCCCATCATAACCCTGGGTGGAAGCGCCACTTCATCAGAAAGAAGAAAAGCCAGAGGAGCTACATCGGTCGTCTGGGGTCTAACACGGAAACCGTATCTGTCCTTCCTTTTCCCTTTCTTTTTTTCCATTGTTCTACTCTTCGTTTCCTTTTTTTCCTGGTTTCGGTATTTACCCTTCTCCAAAAATACCGTGGCGCTCAACATAAAATCTGTAAATAAACTTTCACCCCTTCACCGACCATCATTTGTCTCTTCCTTCAACACGTCCTTCACTTCACCACTGAATTACCGCCAACGTACGTGCAGCCAGAGTAAGCTGTAGCAATTTTAGTAACAAAACTGAATCCTCGGCATCTTGTAAACACTGAGGAATACAATGGGAATACGTCTTATCTTTTCAAACATTTGAAAACCAAACACTCGTAGATTAATTTTCCCAAAACTCTATACTGATAAAATTGAAATATCAATAATGTTGAAATGTGTTGGCAGCTTTTCCTTAGTTTTACCTACGTACCCACTGTATGAAAAAATATTTAAAAATGATAAAAAAAATTCCAATTTCTTGATTATTTTAACACATGAGCGTATTTTACCCAAAGTCGACAATAGTAAGTTGATCATTTACAAATAAACGAAAAAGTAGTCATATGAGTAAGTACTCGTTAGTATCGAACAATTTCTGTCGATACTTGAGTAGTATCGAATATTTTTTTCTATACCGGTATTGAGTTGATGTAGGAGGTCACTAGGCCACTCTCTTTTTAGGCAGTGTAGGGGGTTGTTAAGGTGGAACGTTGAAGAGAGCGTTGGAGGGTAGACTGGTGTGGAAGGAGAGTTTCGAGCTTGGAAGTTGTAGAATCGAGTTTGAATCACGTTCATCACGAATGTAATATCAATGTCTTTCTGGTTGGTTTGATTAGTGACATTGAAGAGGTAGCATTCGAAATGCAATGGAGAACATTTGATTTAAAGGCTGAACCCCACAGCTCGACTTCATAAGTCCAAATCGGTCTAATGTCTTGTCTATTGTTATTTTATTGTGTGCAATCTTTGTCGATTTGGGTTCAAGCCTACTTGGAGGCGTCTGGATTGTCAATACTTTGGTTCTTGTATTGTTTATTTTATTTGTCTGTTTCATGTAAGTCTGCTGTCCAAGTAGAACCAAAAGTAGGCGATTTGGATGGAACAAGGGATGTACAATGTTGAGCAGGTATTTCTTCTAAGCCTAAACGTCACATGTCGGTTCTTTTGTTCAATTGGCTTGATGCGCCGCAGTGTGCACCAGTAATGAGGTCTAGGCGAATTATTAGGGAAAGTTTAAAAAACATCATAATAAATTTCACGGCTTAACACTTTAATCAATTACAGAACGGTAAAGAAAGAAGTAATGAGAACAGAAAGAGACTTTCACAAAGAGAGGCCAAAAATAATAGAGACACTTCGTAAGAATACTTCCAGCACAAGATTAGAGGGTAATGCTGAACTTAGAAAAGGTAAGTACTGAAATTGGCCGTGTAAATAATATAGAATTGAATGTATATAGCTATACAGATTATCTGATGATTTTGTCTATACAATTACCAACGAACTATTGCGACTCATATCGGACAAGGAAAATTTGTTCCACTAAACCAAGCACACTAATGATATTCACAAAATACTTTACAAGTAAAGGATAATAAAGAAAATCTTAATAAAAATACAGTCAAAAGGTATGGTCTCTGATATCTATATTTGAAAACAAAGCTATTTACAAAACAATATATATCGAAAGGGTGGAAAAATAAGTGGAAACTCTTACCATTATTTTACCATTTTATGTGAGAGAAGTAATTGGATTAAAATAGTATCATTCCTTACGATACTTATCTTCAAGGGTAACATTCACATCCTTTTACGTCCCTTTATTCTTACTCGTTTGATGTAAAATCTCACCAGAATCTCTTTGTAGAATGTTTTTTGTTTGAACTCCTATTTTCTGTTCATTACAAAAGAATAGGGGAATTTTCACAGAGGGTAAGTTTAATTTTAATGTATAAAAAGAGTAAATATTAATATAGATTTGTTGTTAATAACAATGTTGATAAGGCAGAACAATTAGTAATATTCTGATCTATGTTTTATGGAACTATTCGATCATAGACCAACAGTGAATTCATTACAGGAGTAATTCTGTCATCTCACTTGAAAACACCTTAATCTTCTGAACCCAATGTGGTCCACCTCTTCGTCGATACCGTTTCTACATATTTTGAACGAAGGAGTAACGAAATAAATAAGAAAAATATAAAGAACGGTCAGGTTCATCATGGAGTGTAGGTTGTCAGTAAGTTAACTGGTTTTATTAAGAAAAGACGAACCCAAACGCGCGTGAACACACCCAGAGACACCCAATACTTAAATATAACGTATTTGCAACTCACCCAAAAGTAGTCCGGTTTAAAACCCGGTATCTTTTTGTGCGTCTGTCCGATTTGTGTGAGAAATGTGAAAAAGGTATCCAAATCGTCCAGCTCTTTGATGCCTTCGTCGAGCGTGGCCATGACTTTCGTCGCGTGCTCCGCCAGCTCCAGACTCTTTTCCTGTTCCTCCTTCGTCCTAAGCTCTTTCAGCTTGGCAAAAAGATCCAGGAGTTCCTGGTGTTCTTCGAACAACCTGAAACAATATTGTTAAAATATCAGCATACTGAACAAATGTGTATACGCTATTTAATATTATTATGGCTTTTTACGTTTTGGCAAAATCATTGATGTTTACAAAAATACAAATTAAACCAAGACCCTGCTTACTACATTGAAAAATGGCTTCTTTTGTTTTTACTATTGAAATATTAACGTTTATGACTTTTGAAATTTATTTTCAAATACGGTATTATATTTAATCATTCACAATTCATTTAGTATCTTTTTCCTTGACTGATGGGGTTACAAAAAGTGAGAAAAATTATTATTGACAGAAATCGGTACTATACATCACCAGGAATAGGATAATTGATATACATGTTTGTAATCATCGATGTCCATAGATTAGGATTTTCAGATAGACGGTTAGACAAATCGTTTAATTTATTTTCGTCATTGATATATTTTCAAACATCTAATTAACGACTTTTCTCAGGAAATATTAAAATTTATTACGATTTTTAAAATAATATTTAATGGATATATCTCTATCGTAGGCCAATTAAAGTATATGCTTATTTTAACTTTGTTACAATTCAAATGGTTGATTACGAATTCTAAGTAATAGTAACATACGGTTTTACAAGATTCAAAGCCTTCCAGGAGTATAAGATTCAGAAGATTTCCAAGCTTAGCAAGCTATTTTATTGCCTTACTTCAACACGAAATGTAACATGTCTTTGCAAAAAAAAAGATTTTTTCCAATACAGAAACCTTGTAATGGGGAGTGCAATTCAACATGTTCTCTTTTAAGGTTATATATACTTTTCAAAAAAATTAATTAATATTAAATAAATATTAAAGCGTTAAATGATAAAGCGGATGTGGATAATTTGTAACAAACAAATTGACATGAACGTGAAGGAGGTGATGGTCTGTGGAACTCGTGGGAGACAAAAGTGCAGAAAGGCTAAAAGGCGGAGGAGAGGAGGCATTCCATTGGGAGACTGCGAACAAACCACCTCGAACGTAGCTGCTTCAACTTGGCTTGTGAAGAATCATCTTATGAGAAAACATCAGGAAAATGGCATTCATCGTGTGAGTTTTTTCCTATTCCATATTTCCTTAATTTTATTCCTTGGGGATTGCGCATACGTAAATATGAATTCATTTATTTTTAACAGTAGGTTAAATCTTCTTAATTATATTTTAAGTTTTTTTTAATATTGTTTCAAGAAGAATTGATTTTATTTTTTTGTAAAAATTTAAGTTTGAAGATTCAATTTAAAAGAAAGAAGAGTGTAAATATAATTTTAGAAAAGAAATAATTGGATTGAATAAATTCTGTTTCCCTTACAGTGCCTTTTATTTTTAAATTTTTCCTTTTATTAAAATAATGGTAATAGTAAAAAAAATTAAAATTATTATTGTAATTGTTAAAATTGTATTTTAATTTCTTCATAAAAAATTCACTAAAAGTCTAACAAATTATAGGCAGGGATGCGATGTAGATAAAGTGGTGACATTATTCCTACTGGATAAAAGTTATGTCCTGGATTTTGTCTATATTTATTCTTATCCGTCACTTTTTCCGCCAAGGTTCAAGGTTGATAAGGTGTAGAGAGCAATGTGTGATGACGGGATCTTTATGGATTGAAGGATTGGATAGAGGGTATAATCCGCAAAAGTGTGAATGTATATGTGGGGATGGGTAGGGAGGTAAGCAGTGTACGTTGAATAAAGGAAGGGACCAAGGTACTACCATCTGGGATTACATCCTTAACAGGATATTAGTCACATGAGACGTTTTCTACCTGAAAGAAGCGGTCAGCCAGGTATGATCGGAATACGAGTAAATAGGTAAAAAAGGAGGATCTTGAGCTTCCACAGCAAACCCTAGGATCGAGAGGTTACCTCTTGTAATCGGGATCGGATCAGTCCGTTGATAAAAGGAATGTTGAGGTAGTAGTGGATAGTGATGTAGTAAGTAGATTTGACAATTTGTATGAAGACTTTTGATTTGAAGGGATGGATGCACTTGATGTTAGATGGCTTGACAGACCACTTCCATACTGCATGTCCAATGTGGTAAGTAGCAGTAAAGTGTACGGTTAGTTTAGTTCACTAATTTCGTGGTCCGCTTGACCAGTTAGGCTTGACCACCATTGAAAAATGGCAAAAAGGAGGGAAAATTCAAAAGGTGGGGTTGAGATGGGAAGTTGGTGTCCGAGTGGATCGAGGTCACGATAGCTCATGTGGTAGAGCAGCGGCGTATCTAGCCGAAGACTTTTGATTGACTTTTTTATCTCAACTAAAAAGCTTAATTAGGTTAGTTTAGTGTTGTCGGTCAACACGGATTTTTTTCCTAGAAATTTTCCTAAGTTGTCCAAGTCATCTGTTAAGTTGTTGTCTCTAAAGTCTCGAAACCACTTCCGCCTATGGTCTAGGTGCACCCTAAGTACCTGACTTGAGGTGAAATAGGTAGCTCGTTTGCTGACGTACACTGTTTGGAAAAACTTTTTTCAACGTAAATAATCTATGTACTTTGATATTCTATCTTGCCTTTCAATCCGTTGCCGACCACACTGGACTGCCTATCATCGGTGGGTTGGGATGTCGTAGAAAACGTCACATTTTTTCATACGATCGATATCAGACTTAACAATATAATTATTGCTTAAAAATCAGGGATCAGGCGAATTGTAATGTCGAATAGGCGGTCGGTAGATCTCATCTATTCTACTCAGATTAACTCATAAATTCGTTTATTTTCAAAGCAATAATTTAACATTGTTTTTGTTTTAGTATAAGGTATAAATCAAAACGCTTTCAACGAGAGTACTGTATTTTTCTTCAGAACGAAGAATTTCCCAGTCACAAAATAACGTTGGCTCGCTTGATATAGTAATAAAATTGAATCACCAAAGTACAGTTAAACAATCGGCTCAGCTTTAAAAGAAGACATCACACATCGTTGCTAGGTGAGATTGGTTCTACACAATTCGAGTTGTAATAATGTACCTGAAGAAAGGTGGTAGTCAGACAGGTTCGTTAAAGGTAACGAGATGTTTACAGTGTTTTGCGGTCTGTTTGGAAATAAGGTATGAAACAAATTGCCGTCATAAATTAAGGCCTTTTCCTAAGCGGCTAACATAATTTGAAATCATTTCCTGATACAAGTAAATACGTCTTTCCCGGGAGTTTTAGTTTTCAAAGCAAAAGTTAGTTTTCGTTCAGACGGATTTAACGAAAACGGCATTATTCTACATATCTTATAATTTGTTATTCAAATTTCTCTTGGGAAATAATGTAAAATTAGTTTCTAAGGGATTAAAGAGAATGTCAAATTGAAGTCATAGAATAATTGATGTTTATTGAGTTAATGAAATGTCAAATTTTCAGTTATTTAATTTTTTTGTATAAAGTAATTACATTTCGATTTATCACTGAATTTAGTAATTTATAAATTCCTAAAAAGTCTTATGCAAATTGGTATTGAATACTGAAAGTATATATCATAAAAAATTAATTAATTGTGTATAATTTATTAACAAGTCAATGTATAAATGATCATATTTTCATTGCTACTATAATTATGACATCAATAACATCAAAAAACGAAATTCATCAATAAAATTTACAACACAAAAGCAAATCAAATTACAAAAAAATGAAACTATGGCAGATTATGCCTGACGTATGGGCTTTATGCCCCAATCTAATCAATTTGGTCGAATCTAAACTTCTAAAGGCCTCTTGAAGAACTCATTTGAAGAGGATGGGCGATAGAGGATCTCCTTGTTTGACCCCCTCTCTTTATGCGAAATTCAAGTCCTGACCTTGCTGGCTTCCATCATACCAACTATTAAGTGCATACTTAAACACAAACACTTTTGTTAATCAAATTATTGACCAGGTTCTTGGTTGAAGATTTCGTTTTTTGTCAAAAAAATGTTTGGGATAGGGTGTTGCTTTTGCTAATAATTTGAGAACCGTTGCTTCGATATACCAACCGCTTTCATAATTAAATTTAGCGTCAAAAAACTTTTAAACATGTGATTGATAATCTTGCCATTTAAAATCCTGGAGTAACTACATTTTGGTTCATGAAAAAATAAACAAAAAGGAAACGTTTACGTGTCACGATTTTCCCCCAAAAATACCCCAATAAAAATATGGTTGCGGAAAATGTTAACTCTTTATTGAACACAAGTCTGGGCTACGATTAGGAGAGTAAAAGATTGGCTGCAAACTAAGAAACTCAATAGAAAAATATGCTTGGTACCAAGAATTGTCAAACGATAAGAAATGCTGATATCAGGATGAGAATAGGGATTGAAAATGTGTAGATAATCTTCTTGTGTACAATGTTCCGTCGATTTTTTATTGTTGTATTGACTTCTACATATGTAAAACAATTATAACCATAAAAATGTTATTGAATAAAAGTGAGATAATTCGGGGAGCCGAATCACCCAATGGTGAGCCTACTTTTAAAAATAATAAATATGACTACTTTTCAATTTTCTTAGTCACTTAGGGCGTCACGTGGCCATCGGCGTCTCAGAGCATTATCTGGGATAGTAATGGCACTTAGCTGACGGACCAAGATACTGGGATGGGTGGAAAGGAAATTATGGAATTTTTGTAATTGCCTTTGATTACTTCTGGAACAAAGAGAATATTAAAGGCTCGATGTAGGGGGAGGTTTGATACATAATAAGGGGAGTTAACAATTTTTCTTAAGATTTTTGATTGGCACCATTGAATTGACAGTTGAAATGCTTGGCTGCCCCCAGAGTTCGATAACATAATCCACATAAGTTGAGGACCATGGTATGTATTAATGTTTTGTAATTATTAAGTGGAAGTTTTAATCGTCTATTGAGTAGTGATAACGGTTTGTATCGTCTATTTATTTCTTTTTGTTTTTAACCTTGGGTGTGGATGCCACGAAAGTTCGATACGGGGTAGTGAAATCACGATAAAGAAAATAGGTTGTATTGTTATACGTCTGAGTCAGAGTTTGTTGGT